TCAGGCAATCCACTCACCTCAGCCTCCCAAAGGTGCAGGATTACAGGCTGAGCCACCAAGCTGGCTAGATACATATTTTTAACAACCTTTTAAAACATCAAGCTCTGTGTAGACTTCTGGATGCAAGTCATTGTTATGTAAACATTGTGGGGACTGTTCTGCTTTAGGGCTTCTGAGGGAGTAGGGGAGGAGAGAAGGAAGACGAAGACCCCTATGTGTGCCTGCCCAGGCCTCTCGCCAGCATGGAAGGGCACTGGGCAGACTTGGGGGCAGAGGTAGGCCTGCTGTGTATATGCACCTCAGGGCTGTTGGCTCTGGCTGGCACCCCCACCGTGGGTCAGTAGTGTGGCCAGAAGCCACCCAGTTTAATTCTGACCCTGAGCTGTGTGCACCAGTTCCGAACCCAAACACGTCTGATCTCGGAGTCTGAGCTGTGGTCTGCTTGCTTGGAGGCAGAGAGGGAGAGCAAAGAGCTTGTCCTTAGCTGTGAGCTGTGAAGTCCCCTGACAAGGCCTCCCCCTCCTCCACTCACTGAGGACCCACCGGCTCCCCAAGCCCCTCTCCACTCACCGAGCCCCTTGACTTCTCATCAGCCCTCACTCCCCACAGATACCTCTCCCCACCTGGAGTCCCTGCACCTCACTGGGTCCTCATCATCCCTCGAATTGAGTATGTCCCTTCTTGAGCCCCTTTGCCAACTGACTCCTGGGCCGCCCCTCCAGTCCTGCCCCCCAAAGTACCCATTCCTTCACTGAGGCATGACCCTTCCAGAAGCCAGAATCTTCTTTCTTCCCCTTTCATGACCCCACTCTCCATCTGTGGCTTCTCTCTCAGAGTCATCCTCAGAATCCTTCTGTACCATCCTCAGAGTCCCTCTTCCCTTCCTGAATCCCCAGTCATTCCTTGGGTCAGTCAGCAAATATTCATTGAGAACATACAGATCCTGGCTCTGGATCGCAGACATGAGAATTGAGGAGCCCACAAGTGAGGGAGAGGACAGACCATTTCAACCCAGCCTCGTGAATGCTGTGACAGGAGGGAACCTGGGGTGGGGGGTGCTGGGAGAGCACAGAGGAATTGAGAGGAGGCATGGAGTGTTTGTTTAGGAAGCAGGGTGCAGCTAGGAGGAGCCGGGGAAATGATTTCTCTTTTTTATTTTTATTTATTTATTGATTAGAGACAGAGTCTTGCTCTGTCGCCCAGTGGTATGATCATAGCTCACTGCAAACTTGACCTCCTAGGTTCAAGCGACCCTCCCACCTTAGCCTCCCGAGTAGCTGGGACTACAGGCGCATGCCACCATGCCTGGCCAATTTTTAAAATTTTTGTCTTGCTATGTCACCCAGGCTGGTTTTAAACTCTGGAGCTCAAGTGGTCCTTCCACCTTGATTTCCCAAAGTGCTGAGATTATAGGGGTGAACTACTGCGCCCTGCCAAAATGATTTATCAGTGGGGTTCTAGGCAGTCCTAGGATTTCAAGTGAAGAAACTGCACTCACATCTATTTTATACATTGGGGATCTTTTCTATTGGAAAAAAAGGGGTTCTGCTGCTAACAAAAAGCCCAGTACCCAAAGGGATAGAGCAACTGAAGCTGTCTGGGGCTCAGAGAGTCCTGGGGGCATGATGCTACAGAATGGGTAGAGACCAGATCATTAGGCTCTTTATACCTGCCAGGCTGAGTAGCCTGGACTTGAGTGATAGGAGGTGAGAGGCCACTGAGAGATTATAATGGTCAAGTTGCTGAAGAGGGTTGGGGAGGAGACTTGGGGAGGGAGGTAAACAGGCCAGTTAAAAAGATGTTTCAACCCAGGTGAGAATAAATGAGGGTCTGAACTAAGTTCACAGTTGAGTTCAAGATTCCTGGGTCTTCCCACTGGGATGTGCCCAGGGTTTGTTGAATGTATAGCCCATGACCCCGGGTATCAGGAAGCCACAAGAATAGACACATCTGTTGGGACAGCATGTGACCTGAGAAGGTCCCTTGCCCATCCCTTTCCTCAGTCTTCTGATTGGTGCCCAATTCCCTGTCCTCCTACCCCCACCAACTGGATTGAGGACTCTTACCCAGTCTGATTCCTCCAAGGTTAGATTCCACCCCAAAATCAAGGTCATCACCCCCTCGGTCATGGCAAGTTCTCTCTACCCCACACTGACCCTAAGCCAACCCACCTTGAGCCCCCGCTCCTATCCCATCCTGGTCCCTATACTTTAGTGATTCATAATAGAAATCTATCCACACTCCATCCCCCTTCTTGAGCATCCTCTCACTCACCACATCCTCAGCTCTGTCCCCCCTGTGGATCCTTACCCCTTCACTGGGCTGCCATTCAGAAATGACAGGCTCTGACCTCTAAAGCTCTTTCTACTGGGAGAAAAAGACATGTTTGCAGATAATAACAATATGAGGTGATGTTTGTCATGACAGATTAAAGTATTGCAGTGACTGTAAACATGCCACTGCACTTTAGCCTGGGTGACAGAACGAGACTCCAACTCAAAAAAACAAACAAACAAACAAACAAAAAAACAGGCATAGGAACACAGAGAAATACTCCATTCAGGCTTTGCAGGGTGGTAAGATCAGAGAAGACATCCTGGAGGAGGTTTGATGGAATTATGTTCAGGAGAAGGCAGAAGCAAAGACATAGAGATGTGAAATAGTGTGATGTATCCAGAGAAGTAAAAATAGTTCA